TCTCTATAGCACTAGTAGGATTGAGACCAAGAGATCAATTTGAGATCAACTGCCTAAAATCATCCATCTGCTCCACAGTTAAGACTTCTCCTTTGATGGCTTCATTTCTTCCTCAATTTTTGAACCCTTTTTTATTCCCCTTTATTTTCTAGTACAGTGTTTCTCAAAGTGTGGTTCCTGGACCATCTGTCCAAATATGGTAGAGTGCTTGTTAAATACAGGTTCCCACTGACTACCATCAAGGTTCCTAAGAGTCAGATTCAGAATCTTTGGGGAGAGGACAGAAATTCACACATTTAATACACTTTAGCTGGTTCTTATGCACACTAAAGCCTGAAAACCGTTACTTGAAAAACAGTACTCTCAACATCTTTTCCTTTAAAATGAGCTTCAATAATTCAGCTGTTTGTCTGATCTTACCACCAGCTTACAGATAACCATAGAGAACCTAATGTGATGCAAACTGAGGATTGACAATCCTTATTCTAAAAGAAAGAAATTATATTTTCATAGTGCAGTCTCTTATAGATTCTGCATGGTAAATCCAGATTATCAAAAGTTAGGTTACTGCTATTTAGGAAGCATCTCATAGACTGTGGAGCTGTGTCATTTTTCCTAACTATAATTTTAAGTATCATCTAAAGTCAGGAAACAATGCATTATTTAGATTCCAAATCTCTATTCTCTTTGAAGTAATCTAAAGTGATCAAATGTTAATATTGCTTGGGTCATATTTTTTCAACTCAATGAAAGCTGAGCGGATCTGCTAATATGTTACTGTTTAACTGAAAAGCCTTATTCAGATGTTAATTTCTTTCAGTATAAATTCCTTTAGCTATCAATCAACTTCAATTTACAAATCTTATTTCTGTAGCAAGCTCATAAACTTACACTTGGGATAAGCAGATTAGACATTGTGGCTTTCATTTGTCTGCAGCCTGTGTCAAGATGATTACTGTCAGGATTAGGGGGCAAGGGGTTGTATCCACAGAAGCTTGCTCTGCTAGCTCATTTTAAAAATTTGAGTATGCTCTGAACGTGGACTATTGGCCACAATATAACCTATATAAATTTCCTTTTATACCACCTCTCAAACAACTGGAATAGGGCTGAAAAACAGACTGAACTTTGAAGATTCAGATTTAAATTCCATCTCTACCAACTGCAGAAAAGTAGATGTTTCTGGTTTTGGTTTTCTTATTTGGAAGAAAATGGATAACTCTGGATGATGGCGGGGGGTGAGGGGAGGCGGCGGAGAGAGGCAGAATAAATTCCCCTAAAAGATGAAGCACACTTTTCATTATCCCCAATCTAAGAATCACTGCCACAGTAATCCAGATCCAGCTGATCCATCATGTTCCTGTAAGTCGAGGACTCTGTGCTTTAGATCAACCCTTAAAACAATTTTAGTCTGAAAAATTCTTGATCTAGTGTCTGATTTCTAGGTGGCTGTTTAAGAGATTTTCTCCAATAGCAATTTTTCCTCTTAAGGTCTTTTATAGCTGACCAGGAAAAGCCAGTGTACTCGCCTAGCTCGTTGCTAGGTTAGCATCAGTTTTATCACTTCATGTTTCCAAATGGTCTTTTAACTTAAATCTATCCTTATATAATGATATATGGTTTGAGTGAAAAACTGACCAACTCATATTCTGTATATGGATGTGGTCTTTGTGCTCCAAGCGTTGACTCAGAGAACAAAGGTTATGGAAGACACACAGAACCAATGTACTCATGTCAAATTACGACATATTATAAAGGCATACTTGCATGCTCCCCCCACACACCAATGTCTGTTGCATACATTTTTAAAATAACTGTGATATAAAATTCAATAGGTTGTTTCCACTCATGAATATAAAATAAACATTCTCTTAAATTATGACAAATTTCTTGCAAATAATTTTTTTAAATTGGGATATAATTGACACATATTAGTTTCAGATGTACAACATAATTCAATATATGTATATATTGCAAAATGATCGCCATAATAAGTCTAGTTAACATATGTCATCACACAGTTACAATTTTTTTGAGATAAGAATGTTAAAGATTTACTCTCTTAGCAACTTTCAAATATACTATATGGTATCATTAACTATAGTCATGCTGTACATCTCAAGGCTTCTTTATTTTATACCTAAAAGTTTGTCTCCTTTGACCACCTTCACTTATTTTGCCTCCTCTACCTCACTCCTCACCTATAGCAACCACCAATCTGTTCTCTGTATCTATGAGTTTGGTGTTATGACAGCATTTCCTTCTTTTTATAGCTTTTTATATACATACACACATTTTCTTTATCCATTCATCCACTGATATACACTTAGGTCGTTTCCATGTCTTTGCTATCGAATATAATGCTGTAATAAACATGAGAGTGCAGGTATCTTTTTGAGTTAGTGTTTTTCATTTCCTTCAGATAAACTCCCAGAAGTAGAATTGCTGGGTCATATGACAGTTCTAGTTTTAATTTTTTGAGGAATCTCCATACCAATTTCAAGTCTACGTTCAAGTCTTTAATCAACTTTGAGTTGATTTTTGTAAATGTATAACATAGTGGTTCACAGTTTCATTCTTTTGCATGTGGTAGTCTAGTTTTCCCAACACTGTTTATTAAAGAGACTGTCCTTTCCTCATTGTATATTCTTGGTTCCTTTGTCATTAATTGCCCAAATATGTGTGGGTTTATTTCTGGGTTCTCTATTCGGTTCCATTCATCTACGTGTCTGTTTTTATGCCAGTACATTGTTTTAATCATATTACTTTGTAATATAGTTTGAAATCGGGAGGCATAATGTCTCCACTTGTATTCTTTTCTCAAGACTGTTGTGGCTATTCTGTGTCTTTTGTGCTTCCATATGAATATTAGGAATTAAGTACTTTTTAATGGTCATAAAATCATCAAGTAGATTTATAGTGACTTAAACATGCCATTTTTTAGATAAAAGGGATTTTTCAAGAGAAATATTGCCTTTAAGGAACTTCTTAAGAAAAAAAAATTCAGATTGGAATTGTTACTAGACTATGTTTCTAACAGTACCTTAGTTTTTTTTTCCAAAGTACCATTCAGTGATCATTTTATTTTCTCTCATGACTTAAATTGTTTGAAGGCATGTGATGAGAATATCTAGTTTCCATTCAGATGATTCCTACTTGGAATGCCTAAAGTGACAAGTGTCTCTGACTTCTTGTCTACCCCTAATCTGTAGAAGAGGAAGAGAAGGAATCCAGTGTGGAGGTTCCCAGATTCCTTCTCTCTTGCAGTGCCCACTCTTGCCTGTCCTTGTTGTAGCTGCTGTATTTGATCCTTAATGCTTTTTCATATTCCTATATTTCTGACCTCAGCTTAGCAAAATGACTGGAAGTTTGCTTTATATTTATTGCTTTTGCTTTACTAAGATCCCCAAATCCATATTTTAGATCTTAGCAGAGAACAGTGGAAAGTATAACAGCTTTGAAGTCAGGCATGTGTTAGAATCCTCATCCTGTCAACAGCTAAGAGATCTCAGGCAAATCAATTACAACCTGTGCTTCAGTTTCCTCAGCTGTGAAATGTGGCTAATACTATCTGCCCAAAGGTAAACTTCAGTATTAGACTGGAAAATGTACTGAAAGCACCTAACACAGTGCCTGGCACACTGCAAGCTTTCATACACAGTGATTACTACAGTCATCATTATTATTATTGCTCATGATTCCTTACCCTTGGCATTCCTAATCCTTGTCCTGTACCCCAAGATAACACATACCATGATATATAGAAGGAAAAGAACAAGTCCCTCCCTGACAAAGGAATCTATGAATTTAGGAATACCCAAATGGAGAAGGAAGACAACCACTAATCACAGAGGTTAAAGAGGAAACCCAGCAAGAATAAACTGGATGTTTGAGAGAGGCATGTTATCTTGAATAGAAAGCAAAAGAAGTCTCAGAAATATTCCAGCTGAAGTATATAAATGCATAAAAATCTGTTACTGACATTTTAAAAAAATGAAATAAAACATAGCTTTTCAGTGACAGCCTAGTTTCCATGGAGTTATTTTTCCAGATAGCATAAAATTAGTTTCCTAGTTTAAGCTGCACCTGCTATATCACTAACATTTGTATTATTAAGTCTCTGGACTTAAAGTGCTTTCGATGTGAATTTTCCTCCTACTGTGCCCATCTGTTCTTTTCATGAGAGACCAGAGGAAACCACGACTTAATAAATATCTAGTTCTCTGACTTCTTTATATTTTCATATAAGCATTTATATCCACTGAGGAAAATTATAAGACTATATACAGAAACTTAACTCACATTTGACTTTCCTTTTCTCATTGTCCAAGTGGTCATTATTTTTATGGAAAACTAGAAAGTCACCGCACATATAAGAAGTAAAGCCAAGGAAAACAAATGATTCTAACTTTAAAAGGTACATGTGTCAGGGATGATAACTGATCTCAGGTGTCTGATAATAACTCTAAGATATCTTATTTATTCATACACTATTAGATAAATAATGAGTTATCCAATGTTAATGTGGACAGAGCCAACTCAGGTGGAGGAAAGCATCAAGGCCACAGCCTACTTGAGGTTGCTACTTATCAAAGTCAGCAGTGACTTCCTTCACAGGATGTATTTCACCTAGTGATGCTGCTCCTCTACCCAACTAGGTCGGGACCATGGTGAGCTCACTTTCCACAACTACTCTTTCTGCTGTGACGTCAAGCTGGCTAGATTAAAATTAACCATACCTAAATTAACCTCGTATGGTGTTAATATTTGACTAACCAAACACTTGTTTTACTTTAAAAATCATAAGTTCAAAAACAAGGTAATATCAGCGAAGACATGGATGGCTGCTACACAGTCTATAAACTATGAACATAAATTCAAGATAGATATAAATATTGGCCACAACATGACTACTTATGAAATTCCTTGGCAGGCAGAGGTGTGGAGGAAGGTGTTACTTACTGGCAGGCTTAGAGCAGACTAAGAAGGAAAAAAAATACCTCAACAGCTGCAAGGCCGATGCATACTCCTCTGAATCCCATATGTTCTTTTCTAAACATGTGCAGTACAGCTCTCTGATCTGTAAGTGAACAGCATACTTGTAAGGAACCAAAAGTGATGTACTAAGTTTGCACACTACTAGTTTGACAAAATCATAAATGGTCAAGACAAAAAAAAATTAATATTATTAAAAATAGTCATTTTCTTTAAATGACAACAGATGGCATATATCACATGCTTCAGTCTTTATAAGAATACATTTACATAAAAGCAAAATGAGACTATATTGGGACTGGCTGTTATCACTGGTCACTTTGCAATAAGAAAATGATAAAAATGATAATGTGATTATTAAAAAGCAGGATTAATGGCAGAAATCATCTTACAAACCAGTCATTTTTATATAATTATTCTCTAAACCTTTGAGTAAGGATTGAAAGATTTTAAAACACAGAATTCTTCCATTAACATCCACTCTATAGATGGTTCATAGGCTTATCATATGACACAAAGGTCAGCAGAGCATAATTTTGCAAGGAGCAGAAGTACTGCTTCCCTTTTAGTTCTTGGTGCAATGCAAGGTTAACCATTATGCGTTCTCACACAGATTTCTTCCATTTCACTAAGGTATAAGATCAGCTCTCTGAGCAATAAAAAGGTGTTAAATAAAGTTAAAATGACTTAGCACAAATAAAATACATTGTCAGGTAAGCAACACCACTGGAATTCATGTTGTTGTTTCTAGTTGTGGCCATCAAACAAAAAATATTGTTTCAATTACCAGTAACGCATTCAGCTGGAATGGATTTAGACTGTGTGTGTACTCACTGCAAGATTTGGATCCATTTCATATTCTGATGTCTGAATGCTACTGTAAATGAGGAAGTTTTTGTTACCTGTCGACCCAACGGGTACTTGGGAAGAGAAGAGGTGAAATGATGAAGACACCTCAAAACCAGGAAGTAATTTTTATGGTAAATATGCAGGTTGTCTAGTAATGATTGTGTTTCCTCCTAAAAAATCACAGAATACATATACGTTAGCAATTTAAAAGTATAATAAAATCTACTTCATGGATATATATAATTTCTGGAAAATTCACAAGAAGATTCAGAATTACAATTAACTGCCTCAATTCTGAGAATTTATAATGCATACAAAATCCAGGATAAAGGCTTGGTATTTTTGATTTAGTATCAAGTCTGGTGATATTTTACACACACCGAAATTAATACTGTAATTTAATTTCCTATCTACAGCATTGCTACAATAACCTGGCTCCCCAAAATACATGTAAAAAAATACCCTGTTGGATGCCTGTGTGTGTCAGTCACCTGGTATGTGCCACAGTGAAGTAGGCCCATTACCCTCTACCTCAGTGGCATCAGAAAGGTGAGAAGACAGAGTCCAGTACCAATGTAGTTAACAGTTGGTGAGGTTCCACTTATGATGTATACTTTTCTTAAAGTACTGCTAGAGTTATGTTTGAAAGGGAAGAAAGAAATCCTACAGAAGCAACACCACAGCTGAGTCTGCCTTTTGTTGAGAATCTCCAATATGTACTAGTTTTATTCACTTTACCAATTAAGAAAAAAATAGTGAAAAAGAGAAATCTGAAGCCAACGAGCTTTATAATTTAGAATCCAAAAAGTATCATATGAGAGATAGTATCTCTAAGAAATCTCACAAATCAGTTCAAAAGTATTTTTTGAGGGGAGGAGGGTTGCAGAGAAGGAGAATTATGTTTTCTAGAACCTTTTTAAAAAGTTTAGAAATGATTTTAAAACACAGCATCCTACCAATTGTTTTTCAGGCCTCGATACTTTCATAACTGCTTACTTTTGTAATGTTTTCTTAGGATTATCATCTGTGGCATGGACTTCAAATTTATTTCTCCTCTAAGAGGGCAAATAAGACTTTAGCTACCGGGCTGTCTTTTTTCAGTACTATCTTCCAGATACCCATTATTTTTAGCAGTCATCTATGCAGAAAATAACACCTCAGGTATCAATAAATTCAAGTAAATCTAACCTATATAAAGCAAGAAATCTGATACATTTTCTTAAACTCTAATTTACTTAGAAATCAATTCCTTGGTCAGCAATCTATGGGTCATTATCTGAAAGCCTAGGGCAAATGAAAGAATAGCTTTTCATACCAAAATGGTTCTCCTCCCAGTATTTAAGTTAGGTGGTAATTTCAAAAATATAGGTGTCTTATCAACAGTACACCAGTATATCAGTACAAAGGGTACTTTAGCCACCACTGAAAGAGCATACTTTAATTCTATGTTTACTGTAAAGTATAAGAGATTGCATAAAGCCAGTAATTGTCTTGATGTGTGCTTAAATAGCTTTAAAAAGGGGAAATATCCTAGAGAAAAAGGAATCTATTACTGAATAATTATCGTACTTCAAGCTAATTGCACTACCTATTACTTTTGCTCTGTGAAGTAACTTTATGTACTAATAACTGTGAGACAGAATCGAACTGCATCTTTAATTTACTTGGATGAAGAGAGAAAATCACTACTTTAAACAGTACAAGCAACATTGCACACTCAAGGAACTATGCCCTGGAATAAGTGTGAAATGAAACGTATGTACATTTTTTTGTTTCAGATGTCCCTTTATACTTCTCACTGTGTGATTACATCCCTGGGCTGAGGGGAATTCTAGCATTTAAAAAATGTTTTATTCATATAATATGGCAGACTATATCATCTGATGCTTAAATAAGAAAAGAGAGTTCTGGTTCCAACACTGCAAGTAAAATTGGCTATGTTGGACATAATGAGAGATCTATTATACCTGTCAAAGGGATTTTCAAGAGTAATTCTGACCATCCCAGATCTTTGCCTTATGTGCTGACTTTATAATCTAATCTCCACATGCGAAAGATTCCACTGTTATTTATATGTTATCAGCTGCAGCTGAAAATATCACAAATGATTAATTTTATTTTTCATGTACTCTGTTCTCTAAATTCTTTGTCTTACTGAGATGCATATCTGCAAATACCTTTACCTATTCAGGCTTACAATTCCTAAAGCACTTTATGAATGAACACTTTTTTATAAACTCGAACCTATAAAAGGTTTTGATGAATGAGAAAATTTCCCACTTAATACATTACCATAGCATCATACTATGAACAAGTAAAAACGAAGCCTGTTAAATAGCAATCCTGTTTTCTGGTCATTAAATTTTTCCTCCAGCATCTTTTCTGCATTAGTCATAGTTGCCACTGTTTTATTTCATAATTGTGTTAAGGATAGATTCTTTTCAGCAGAGATACACTTTGCCCAGGAATTCTCATTATTTCCCAACGAGATAAGCTTTCTTCTGTTCTTGGAACATGAAGATCTCCTGGCCCTTACTGATCTTTGATACGGAAATAGGAACAGAAATATTTCTTTGCTATAAGAAAAACAGAGCCTCCTCACTCTTCTTCGCACATGCCAGACACGCTCCAGCCTCAGGTCCTTTCCACTTGCTGTCTCTCTGCTTGCAATTCTTTTCCTCCAGATTCCTGCATGGCAAGATCTGTAACTTCCTTTAGGTCTTTATTCAAAATTCAACTTCTCAGTAAGGCCTTTATTTAAAATTTCAGTCCCACTCCCCATGCACAACAAACTTCATATTCTCTTTCTTGTCTTCATTGTTTTCCCCTTAGCAATTATCACTAACATAGATAATTTTACCTACTTAGCTTGATAGCATATAAACTCCATGAAGGCAGGAGTTTCTGTTTTGTCTACTCCTGTACTCTCAGCACCTAAGTTAATCCCTTGAGCACAAAGTAGGCACTCAAAAAATTAGTGGCCAACAGTGAGTCACTCTTCTAAATAAGAGCAACTGCTTGTTGTATTGCTGAAGATGGGCCAAATTTACTAATTTTTCAAAAAAAGATAAAAGTTTGAATTTGTAATATGAATTTTCTCAATTGGTAAATGTTGACTCAGATTTTTATAAAAACACTATGGACCTAAAGAAAAGACATTTATATTAGGCTGTGGATTGCCAGTCTATGTGTGATACACTCTTTAAAATCAACTGTCTCCAATCACAACAATCCTGTCATTCATTCAAAAATCATTCATGTATTATTGCTTACTTATATGACAAGGCCTTTATTATTACTGAGCTAGTTACTTTCTTTTGAGGAGAAGCCAATGGCTATGTAAAACTCATATATATCTAAAGAAAATATAATCAGATAGAATTACATTTGCCATAATACTTAGTTTTTGCATTTATTTCTCTAATTTCCATAGTAATTACCATTTTTGTCTCTAGAATTTTATGTATAGGGGTGAAGAGTGACCTAATGAAGATTTAAAGAAAGTATGTAAAAATGACTAAAATTTTTAATAATCTGCTTAATTCGATCAATTTACTGATTAAAAGCTGGTAAAACACTTATATTCAATTTTAGGATTAAGAGATATCAGCTGTCCAAGAACACAGCATATTCTCATTTATTACCTCAACAGAACTAAGCATTACTTTTCTGAGAGAAGGCTGACAGTGTTTCCCAGACTTGACTTATCATATTACAGCTACCTAACGAAAGCCAAACCAGCTTTCTCCTAGCTCTTGTGTGGCATGAGTGCTACTCCTGCAATCTGTCTCAGCCTTTTGTTCTCTGTATTCCTACCCCAGTTTAGATCAGAAGCACTTGATGAAAGGTTTGGATTTAAAATGCCAATTCCTAACCCATTACTAGGCTAATACCTAGTTTGTTTGATCATATTTGGTAGTTTGTTTTGTAGTTGGTTTCTTTTTTCCTTTCCTTTTCCTCTTATTATTTTTCCTAATAGATTCCCTACCTGCCCTTAGGTCTATCAAAAGAAAAAGAAAAAAGAGGTGGGGGCAAAGGAGAAATGCAGGTCTCTACGAAGCTCATGAACTAATTTTGTAACTTTTGTTCATGAAGCGCCATGACAAGCACACTACATAGTGAAAAGAAGTCCTTGCTCTACCACCAACTTGCTCTGTAACTCTAGACATTTCACTTTTCTCCTGGCTTCAGTTCTTCATTTGTAAAATGAGCATGCTGAATCAGGTTATCTTTACAATAGTAATATATTATAATTCTAAGAAGTTCAAGACTTACTTCCCATTCTCAATGGATTTAAAATCTAGTTGAGCACATAGGCATTGAGACATAAAACATTAACAAGTTAGAATAATAAAACTTCGACTGTCACCTGTAAGACAGTGAATCTAATTTTCTACACAGCACAAAGTTTAAGCCTTTTAAGAGTTGAAACCATGCCAAATAGCTTTAAGGAAAATTTGAATAAAAATATATAAATTGATTGTCTTAAGTGAAGTATACAGAATTAGTAATTCATTAAATATACTGAGTATAATGTAACTTCTTATTGACAAGACCAGATCAACATAAATAGCAAATCATTACAGGTACTACAGACTAAGTGACTGGGGTAGAGAGCCCAGGATTAAAAAGGACCTAATTGTAGTTACTTTGGGATTTATTTTTATTTTTAAAAAAAGCCTTTTGAAAATAAAGTGTATGTGTGTGTGTCTCTGTAAATGTCATTGTTATGTGTGTATGTATATATCTTATATATATACATATATATACACATACCTACATATATATAGTTATATATACACACATAATTATACAATGACATAACTATATATATTTGGTGGGAAGAAGGGAGTTGTTTCCCTTTCTTTAACTGGAGCAGCAGTGCTACATGCTGCATACCTGGCCACCTGAATACAAGGCTAAAGCTGCCTGATATCAAGTGGTTTTCTAAGCATCCTACAAATTATCTTAACTTGCCACAGTATTTGAAAACCCCATTTATGATTTCGCAAACACTAATAAAAAACTTTAGGCACCTTCTTGTCAACTTATATTAATTCTTCACAGAAAGTGTGTGGGCTTTGACATCAGGCCTGGGTATGAATTCCAGATCTTCCATTTGCTAATTATGAGACTTTAGATAGGCAAGTTACTTAATCACTCCCCTTATCTATACAATGGGATGTAAAAGCATCTGTCTTATGTGGTGGCTGTGACTCAATGAGACAATGCATAAAAACTACTAATTGGGAAAGGCTGTTAATATTCTTCCATTCTCCTAAAATACGTGCTTATGAAAAGGAAGAGAATTTTTCATTATTTAAAAATTTTTTCCAGTATTTCAAGGCCTGGTGTTTTTTATTGTCAGATAATGATAACAATTATGCAAATATAATATGAGGCCACAGTTCTCTCAAAGCAAAATTTCAGGCACAAACAATAATAAAAATTTTATCTCTGTAATTATGTTGAATTTGAACGTTCTATTTCAGGCTCTTCTGACAGCTCGATTTCTCATGAAATAGAGTTTCATAAATTAAGGGTTTAAGTTAAAAAAATAACTAAACCAAACTATGGGGCAAACATGGTAAAAATATATCATCACTTCTGCTATTTAATCTAAAACTTATAGTTGTCTAACGTAATAATTTACCTATCTTCAATTAAACCTATGCGCTCAAGTAAAATTTTAATGAGGAATCTAAATGATTTAACAAGTCAGAAAAAAAATTACTAATGTGTTTAATGAACAAGTAAATAAAATCATAGCATTCTAGAGGTAAAAGAAACTCTAAAGATTATTTGATTAAACTTCTTTTACAGGTTTTGAAAGCTACTGAGTTATCAGAATTTTGAATTAATGGGAGCTTATGCAAGCTTATTCTGCTTAAACTTAGAACTTGACTGTTAACTGTCTGAGTACACTTTTTGGCCACTGTACCCAGCTGCACTGTACAATTGTTCAAGGGACAGACTATTCAGAAATGAGAAAATGCACAGAATCTTTAGTCTTTTGTCAACTGTATATGGCCTTTTAACATCCCACCTTAGTTTGAACTTCCTAGTGAATCTTCTACAAATGTACATGGTTTAGACAGCTGAATTTTTAAATTTAAAAGTATTCTCTCAAAATGCCCAGTCTTTAATTATAAAATACAAAGCTGGCATATAGTTTTAAAGCAGTATCTAAGAAACTAAAGGTTCATAATTTTAAGGGATTTGAAGGTTTTTTTAATATCTTGAGTCCAGTCAAAGGATAATTGAGAAGAATCATTTGTGTAGGTTGAGATTTCATAGAATAGTTCTACACTTAAGAAAATCAAGTTAAGGGAAACAATTAACAACATTTACTTCTAGAGAGTCAATCTAATTCAGTGGTTCTCAAAGAATGGTTTCTAGACCGGCAGTATTTGCATTACCTAGAACTCTGCTAGAAATGCAGAGCTACAAAATCAAAATCTCTGGAAATGGAGCCCAGAAATCTGTTTTAACAAGCCCTCCAGGTGATTATGATTTGAGAACTATTGGTTTAGTTCATCAGAGTAGAGAGCAAAGTAGACTTTTAGGGCAGAAACAATCCAGACATAAAGAGTATACATTTCTCTGGAGTATACTTTCATGTCTATGTCTTAGAAATCTGAGTATAGAAAATGGGCACAAAATGATAAACTTTAACAACAGGCATGTCTACATAACTGTATAATCTGTATGACTATATAACAGAGTATTTTTTATATATATACTATATAGTATGTAAAACAGAAAATATATAAAACTATATATTATGTTGATATCTTAATTTTTTAATCAGTAAAAATTAAATAGTAACAATATGATTTATAAATATAAAAGTTTTGTTATATTTATTTCTAACTTACTCTAACTTGCTGAACAGATTTTATCACTTATGAGGAAATCATACTAGAAATTATTATTCAATTTTATAGATAAGGAAATTGAGGCTTAAATAGGGTAAGTGATTTTCTTAATAACACATGGCTACTGAGTAGCTAGAGTTCAAATGCAGGATTTCTGAGGTCAAGATCAAGATCTTCCCCTATATGATGCAATATCATATTATAATGTACAGTTTTTTCCAATTTCCTCGTGGTAAAATACACATGAAATGGATTATTGTGTATTTTAAAATAAAACTATAAAAAGAAAAACTATAAAAAGAAAAAAGCATGATAATAAAATATTCTAAGATACTTTCACTCTACAAAAATCAACAGACACATTGATTAACTTTTTTCAGACATCTTCTATTCTTTAAATTCAGCAGGTAGCCAGCAGAAAACTTTTTCAGGGTAAAGGTGCAAATTTTTCACTCCTTCATATTTCTCACTATGTAAGTCTCAAGAAAATATGCCTTTAATGACAAAATATACAATCTTAAAATGAATACAGCAAAGATAATAATATACAGGGCTGATATGTGCAACAAGAACAAGTAAAGTATAAATAAATGCATAGGAAATACACAAAAAGTTACTGAAAAGCAGGGATAAATGTTAGGCTACTTCTCTAACAGACCAGCTTAGACATTCTCTCCCTTTGTCATCTCAATGGTTAAAGGTACTCTTTAAAATTTATTACTGGCTTCTGAAAATACATTCTTGACAGAAAGTTCTAGCAGGAAATGCACTTGGCAACAAACTCACTCAGTAGAGAGCTAATCTATCTAATCTTAAAAGATTCAGTAAACATGCACGCATCCTCTTCCAGTGGTTCGTAAATTTCCTCTCTACCAAAATAACCTGCATTAGGGTTTCAGGACTTCCTATACTACTCTGAAAAGGTTACAGAGATTATTAAAATGATTATTAAACCTAATTTAGAAGTGATTTTATATTACAGCCCAGTGTGGATTCTGCATTACAAGTAATGCTGAATAAAAGTCATTCTCCACCATATTGTTGTGTGTCAGTTATACCTCAATTAAAAGCCATTCTTAATGTTTTTTGAGAATTTACAAAAAGGAGGTAAATTAGTATTTAAGACTATAGAGAATACATGCCCTGTAGGAACAAACACTCTTCTACCCAAAATTTGGAAATAGTGTGTATCAGCAAAACTCACACACAGCACCAGGGCTTAACTTTAATCTCATCTTAATTTTATTATAATTTTCTAATGACCTTTTTCCTTAAAAAGGCATGAAAAGTATGAATAAAAGTGTGACATTATGCATTTATAATTATCCATCAGGAAAGGACTTGTTAAATAAAATGAAGGTACATTCATTCAATAAAATACTTTGCCACTTGTTAGTACTGGTATGTAATAATTTTCAAGACTAAGTGGGAAACAAAACAAGGTACAGAATATGTACATAATGTACTTATCTTCTGTAAGACAGGTGAGGAAAGCCCCATAATATATATAATTACTCATGTATGTGGAGAATATCTCTAGAATGATGTATAAGAAACGAGTAACACTGGCTGTATCCAGGGAGGGAAAAGAAGGTAGTTAGAGAATAAAGGTGGAAGGGAGTTTTTTCACTGTATATTACCTTTGCCTTTTGAATTATGTACCACATCCAAGTATTATTAATTCAAGAAAAAAAAAAATTTCCTTCTTTTGATATTTTTATGTTGACTCATATACGCTAACTCATAATATTTTAAACTAATTATTTCTTTCCTGACATTATATTATCAATATATACTGACTTTTTTTTCAAGTCAAATCAATACCCACTTAGCACTGGGTCCTTAGCATGGCTTCTATGTGCTTTTATTTATGTCAGCCTTTAAAAAAACATTAAAATGAGATTGCCTGCAAATTCCAAAATTGCTATGTGGAAAGAAAGCTGAAATCTAAAAGTATTTTCAAAATAGACCATAAGAGAAAGCTAGTGTTCTAATTAATAGATTTTTTTCTCAATAAAAAAAGTCTTATTTCTTGGATGAGGTTTTGTGTCACCTTCAATAGTCACATTCCTATATGGTTATCAAGACCTACTACTTCATTCTGCAAAGCATATTAGGAAGTACAGATAGGTTTTATAAAATTAACTCAATAAATGTTATGTGCATATTCCTTTTCATGAAGGAAAAAAGAGAATGAAACAAATACATTGCATCCCTACCTTTAAAAATCTCTCATTGGTCAATAGCGCAACTTGCTTTTCTGCAGCTTGCTTTTCCACATACCTAAAATGTTTACCATTCCATATACGAAAAGAGAAAATTAAATATTTGAATAGCATACAAGGGAAAAGAATTATCCAGATTCATGGTCACATTCTTTCCTTTCTTCTCAAAAGTAAATCAAAGATAACAGTCATAGTTTAATGATAATTTTTAAGTCCTTGAATCAGCTGCACTTCATAGTCTAGGAATCTTATCATAAAGGCTAGAAACTCCAGAAACAGAAAATGTTATTTATAAAAAGTAATGCTGGAGAACCTGAAAATTAAGGCCCCTTGTAAAAATATTTTTCTCTACGTCAAATTTTCAAATCCAACAATCTCACAGTTAAAAACAGAAGGGTTTTAATTTGCTCTAAAAAAATTAAAAGGTTATTTTTTCCTTTCTTCACTTCAAAAATAAATGGATCTGAGATCCCTTATTTTGCCCTAAACTCTATTACATGTTAATTACGTAATTCTTTTTTTACCTCCTAAATGATGGAAGACGTCGGATGTTTTCACATTGATTATCTGATAAAAATTTTATTCTTCTCTTGGCTTCTGGGAGATTACAGCACAGAACACTGAGGGGCTGGGAATAGAAATGCTCTAACAGAGAAAGCTGAAAGAAATATAAAGATTACATATATTTGTTACATTTTGGCAGTAAATCTTTTGCTCTACGTCTGCTCAATGCTTTTTTTTTTTTAAACAGCAGAAATACTTAAGGCACTAATGTATTAATAATATCACAATAACACTGCGAACAATGCATAAATGGCTATATACCTTTAATATTTTAAGGCTCCCATTTTGTGGACAAGGTCAGAAAATTATAATCTCTGAAGCAGAAACTAAAAGAAACTAATATAAATGGATAGATTAGCTATGTGCAGAGCAACTCACAATAACAGTAAATGTGGTAGGGATGGGACTGGGGTGTGATCTAATGGTCTAACTGATGCCCAAAAACTCATAAGAAAATACCAATCTAAAGTAAGTGTAAAAACTGGTCTGCTAAATAAATAAAAATGCTACAACAGTAGAAATTTTAGCTACTGATAAAAAAAGAATAATGCAAAATGAGGGATGGCTAAAGAAAATGTATCTTTAAATTTAGTTTTATTTTACAGAGGAAAACATAGTACAGTATCTGAGCATTCTAGTAATTGGTATGCTGTGATAGGCACAGTACAAGGGGGAATGGTTTTCCAGATTCTACCAAGTCTTATATCTCATAAGACTTTCCAAATGTTAAAAACCCTGATTCTAAGCAACCTTCTCATGACTAGTTTGGTTTTTCCAGATACCTTGATACTGGACAGACAGTTCCCTAGACAGCATACAAAACACATTCTAATTACCAGAAAGTAGCATTCCTCATCACAAATTAACAAATTAACATGCTAGTTTATACATCACTGTAAAGATACTTGAGATTGATCCTTCCTGGGTAAACTGATAATGAATTTCTGAGCGTACAGAGCTAAGAAGCAGATACCCAAAGCTAAAGAAAATCCTCCAAAATAATCCATTCTGGAGGAAGTATAAGGCTGTAAGGCAAAGGGCCAGCCTGACAGAAACAAATGAAAATAGAAAGCAACTGTTCATGCCAAGTGCTAAATTATTTTTGCACATATTAACATAATCATGTTTCTTAACAGTTTCCAATTACATTAATATGATAATATTTATTCCAATATTAACACTACCTATTAAACATGAGAAAAGTAAAAAATCAAACACAATAAGGGACTTGCTGGGGAGGAGGAATGAGAGCAAGCCACATGAGTTATAGTAGAGTTATTAATGGGATAAGAACCTAGTTTCACTTAACTCTTTTGTCCAAGTGTATTCTCAATATCTGAGTTAATCGACAAGTTAGTTAACGTATCCACCTAATCAGGGAAGGACTTAAACATACACAGAATGATTATGTGCCCTATTGTACCTCCTACAGAAATCAGGACTTACACATATTTCTTATGATTAGGAAAACTGGACAATTGTGGTCTAAAGGTTCTGCCACTTACTAGCTATGTGACCTTGCCCAAGCTATTTAACCTAAGCCTATTTTTTCATGTGCAAAACTGAGGATAATAATACACATTAATGAAACGAAATACTTAGTAAAGTGCTTAGCACAAAGGAGGTGCTTAGTAAATTATCAGGAACCTATAAAATCATCTAACCTGATTCCCCTTATTCTACAGATGAGGAAACTGAGACCCACCTACAGGTTAAGTAATGTGGTTAACGTCCTTTTCTTCACTCACTTTCGCAATGGTGTTTTAGACTACAGTTTACATTTCCTAAAACTCTTTCTTCTCTTGACTTCATTGATATTCTACTTTCCACTGGTTTTCATTTTTGTTTTCAGTCTCCTTTTCTTTTGCTCCCTCTTATATGTCAGTGTGCCCTACAGTTCTTCCATTCTTAGTCCTTTCCTCGCTCCTCTGCTTGATGCCTCATCCTCATTACATGGCTTCAACCACCACCGTTTAATGATAAAGTCTTAAATATTTCTAGTCCAGTTTTCCTGAGTGCCAAATCTTTATATCCAACATCGCCTAAATTAACCATATTCCAAAAGAAACTCATCCTTTTCTAACAAACTGGCTTTGATTTATATTAACATGCACACTTAATAAATGGTACCAACCTCCAGCTAGAGCCTATGTGTCTGTCACTTATGCTCCACTCTTACACATCCTATTCATGAATTGAATAGGATGTGTAAGAGTGTTCTGTTGATTCTATCTCATCCTCAAATTTGTTTCCTCCTCTCTAGTCCCATTATTACTACCTAAGTTTAACCCTTATCATATCTTGTCTAGATGACTGCAACGACCCTCTGATAGACCTCTCTCCCTCTATTGTTGCCTTTGCCTGGAATGCTCTTCCAATTCTGCCTGGCTAGCTCTTCTTCCTTAGGATACACCTCTGTTCTCCTACAGAATCTCCAGATTCCACTGACTACTCAAAACTGTAAACATAGGTTTATTCTTCTACCTCCTTCATTAAACACTGAGCAATTTAAAAAGAGATTTCTTTGTCTTCTGTATCTCCAGGGCTCAGCATAGTGCTTGGCTTACAGCAGGCTCTTGATAAATACTTATAAGTAAGTAAATAAATGAATAAAATGAAAAGAATGAGAAGTTAAAAGTTGTTATATCTCAGTATCATTTAATCTCACATGTTGCTAAGGTAAATAATATTTTCTTGCTTTAAAATACTTTTTAAAAAAAAGCTAAATGGGGGGGCGGGGGGGGGGAAGCACATATTAGCCATAGCAGACCACTACAGTTATTTTATGTGGAATAAGAATACATATGAGAAATACTTATCATCTTCCAGGCACTACATAAACATGAGGTATTACATTGAACTTTTGTATTGAAGGTTACTAATCAACTTGATAGATGGCATGTGTTCACGATGACTATACTTTGATAGGGTGTTTTAAGTAGTCGCCAAGAGAAGGGAATTATATTAAGTTTAAAAAAACTGAAGAATGGGGTCCTTTTTTAGTTTAGAATAGATATTATGAAGCTAAGTTCATGAATTTTTTTCTAACAATTCATGAAACCTTAGTGAAAGTATATTCCCAATCCACTTGCATATGTATGTGTGCAGAGGACTGCAAACTATGCCCCACAGCCAATTTTTCTAAGGCCCAGAATGTTTTATACATCTTTAAAGGATTATTTTTTAAAAAGAAGAAAAAGAAGAATATGCAAGAGACCATATGTAGCATGCAAAGCCAAAAAATATTTAATATCTGGTCCTTTATAGAAAAAAATATCTGACACCTCGTATACAACGTTTCCTATATAGAAAGTCCATAAGCTTTCATCACATTCTTTAAAAAAGCTCCCGTACTCCCCAGCCCACCCCCATACACAAAATGGTTAAGAAGCAATGGAATGGAGGAAGGTCTTTTTCCATTTTGATATCCAATTAATGTATTCTTTACAGTTTTGCTTCAAGGTAATAAAGCAATAGCAGAACCTAGAATAACATAACTTGAATTTACTTATTCTAGACTTTTCCATTTAAAATGCCTTAGATATCACACTAAATAGTTTGAAATAACATGCAAATTATTTAGAATTGACTTGTGAATTTTCAAATCCATTAGTGTCTTCTTACCTGAAGTCCTTTTATAAAGTTCTGAATTGAGAAATCATGATACAGAAAGATGTTGGTCAGAATCTGTAACACTTTTTCACTTAGTTTAAAGGGAAACTGAGTTGTAAGAAGTAGCTAAAAGAGATAGAAGGGAGCAAGACACATTCCTTGTTAGTCTTTATTCTTCATAAGTATCAAGTATAAATAATGAGACAAAGAATGATACTATGATACAGTAACTATGAAAGCTATACCAGCAGAAGCTAGGTTTTTTTAGGTCAAATATCAACCAAAATTTCAAATTAATTTATACAACAGTAATAACAAAAAGAAGCTATTCATACTACATCTTCATTACCAAAGATGTCCACCATCCTCCATCCAATTTCTGATTTTAAAAAATATTGTCTATCAACTATATAATCCCTTTTCTCCCACCAGAAGCCACTGAAGAAACTGCAGGTTTTGGCAAGTCTTGTTTTCTGATAAGATTTCTTTTTCATCCTCACTGATGCACATTAATGAAGAGTAACACATCATATATTGTTAAATGATAATCCCCAAATTAACAGATGTCGATTTAAAACATATAAAACAGATGAATTTGCATTATTCAACTAATTTTCAATGGCCTAAAGTGAAGATTTTACATCTGAAAATTATGTCACGTAAGGCTTTTTAAACAGAAGCATGGTTATAGAAGGCCAACTGACTTTGGCCACAACCAAGTAATTTTAAATAATGTAGCCGGAAAAATTATTCCTAAAGTATCAATAAACCAATGGATATCACCTTTATGGAGAAAAAATGTAGAAGTGGTTAGTAAATACATAGGGGGTTGTCATTAGTTTACTTTACACAAGCAATATAATGCACACCTTAAAAGAGCTGAATCTAGCAACAATTTGTGGAAGGTCAGTACTGAAGAACTGTATTTCTATTTAGGCAGAAACATAGAACTAAGGTCTGGGAAAATGTTAGTATATTTATTTTCAGTCAAGAGCAGCATGACAGAAGAGTCCACTAAAAACTTCAAATCATTTAATATAAAATGTAAGAATCAAAACATTGTTATTGTTAGCAGGAAGTCATTCACTTCTGTATAAATTTATTTTAAAAACCTACAATTTTCCGTTGAGTAATAACTGATTAAATTGATAGATATTTCATAAACCTTATATTTTTATCTGAAGAATCAATACTATACCACTATAAAAATCATTAAATAAAAATATTAAAATATGTAAAGGAATATATTCAATATCATACTCTGAGATTGTAGAAATTTACCATTACCATTTACATTTATAATCTATTCTTGGCAGTTTTCTCTTCATCCTATTATCACTGGTAAATATTTTTTTTCTTTTTACCTTATCAAGTACTGTAGTCAAATGCTCCTTGCAAGACAAAGACTGGAATAATTCTATACACAATAGAGATGATACTGCATGAGGAAGCAACCGATGGATGATAATAGGAGATGTGGCAATTCCAAAAATAAGTATTAGTGGAAATTCATGTAGATGTTCACTAGTTTTCAAGGAAAAATACAAAAGTGGGATTTCTTTAGCAAATATATTTCAATACATGTTTCAAAGACAACCTTTATGTTAATGCTTACTTTATAAGACACTGCTAAGGAATATTCTTCCAAATACTAAAATTTTCTAGGTCACTCATTTTGCTTTGTCGAAGTAACATAGAAATAGTTATTTTCCAGACATTCTCACTCCGAAATCAATCTATTAATGGTTCCTCTCATTTTATAAGTAAAAACACAGAGGTGCTAAGATTATACAATCTCTAGTGTTAGAAGAGGTGTTAAATACCATCCAACCGTCCCACCCAAAGTACAAGTGCTACCTAGTCTTCCTTACAGTTAGATATCCGGCCTATGCTTTAAGGGTTCAGCGACATGAAGCTCACTGATTTTCAGGATAACTTATTCTATTTATGGACATTTCTAACAGACACTATGTCACCCAGCCTTAACAGCTAAGAATTAGAAAACATGTCTTACATGTAATGTTAAAACTATTAAAAAATTTAAAAATGTTACATCTTTCTCTTGCATTCTTAACTCAAATTTATTGGACATGATTGATTCTGATCACCAGCAGAAACACAAATGACTTCCACAGAGTAAAACAATACTGAGAGCTACTGCAGGTCAGAGTCCGGTGTGTATTATGGCTGATGATTTTGTTTATTCCTTCCTGTTAGCTACTGCTTTTCAGTATTCTAACTTTATTTAGTTCTACCTTCATAGGCATAAAGTACCCAGACTCTCTTACTAATTTAAGTTTTTCTCCCTTACTTTTGATAGTAATAGTAGTCACAAGTCTGAAATCCAAAAAAGTATAGCTCTTCTAGCACTATTCTATACTGTGCATTTTTTCAACATGTTAAGCAGTTCAGTGTTACCATTAAGAAAAGTTCCTCTTAGGATCTAGAAAACTTAATTTCAATGGGAAAAAAGAATACTATCAAAATAGAAATTATATTAGTAAATTATTACACGACATAGCTTTTAGGCATTTGTAGTCATAAGTATTTAGCAAGTTTAGAGAAAACCATATAGAATGGTTTATAGAATAAATTATATCTTTGAAAATGTACCACGGAAAGTGCATGTTATTGGATTTTAAACAGTGTTAGTTACTTCAATTCTAAGTCTCACAGGATTGCCTTGAAGATCGAACAAGATCATGGAAGTAGATTCTCACTAGAAATATTATAATGTTATTTAGAAAACATTCTTGCTCAGTATAACTATATGTAACTCGGAACTTCCAAGGGTAGATAGGTTTCAGAAAATAAGACCTAGAGCTCCAGTGGTGCAAATGGTTTAGAACACACTCATGTAGAAAAGAAGACCTGACAAAAATATCAACCTGGAGTAGTTTACCTATAATAGGCAAGTAAGAGATAATCCTGGTGAGAGAAACTACATTTTATATTGCCTTATCACGCTAGTTAAAAATGGGTAAGTTTTGTCATTTGATTCTCCTTCTCTGGTCAAAAAAGCAGAAAATCTGATGGGTCTTTGGACACTCAATAATAAGGAATTTGAAATCATCTTGGTTTCCATCCAAATGGCATTAAATGAAAATGAAATTGCCAACTGTTTTCTCTGAAAGGTTTTTTTTTTTTTTTTTTTTTAAGTTAAACACTGTTTTCTTAACAAAAAGAATTTTGCGCAAAAGCCGGGTGATACGCCATCTACCTGCTGATGATTATGAAGTCTTGGAGTACTTTCGTGGTGAAGCTTTCCATATCTTTTAAGATAAGCACAACAGGAGGAGATTGCCATTGGCTAGAAGAAGTCCTCTTTTTCCCTGGCATTTCTTGATCTGTCTTCTTTTAAGCCATGGTGGAAAGAGAGTTTAAAGTAAGCCTTACCATCCAATTGAGGTTATAATGCCACATATAGGTATATCTCCCTTTACATTTCACAGTAACATTTTTCCTTTTATTTTTCCCACATAAAAAATAGGAACTCATTCCAACAGTTATTAGTAGAATCTTTCTGTGTCTGACATGGGAATAATAACCAAGAAGAAAAAGGTTCAGTAAAATCTATAACTCATATGGAATATTTATATTTTCTGCTTAGAAAATGACAGGAAAAGCATGGGGAGAAGTGAACATTCTCTATAAAAGTGAATTTTCTGTTAGTAGAATGTCATATTTTGCTTTGCTGTAAGGTGAGAACTAGTATTTTTATTTAAAAAGCGTTATGAGTCACACTACTTGCTACTGTGCTGATAAATTTCAAGTTGAAAAGCATCTTAAATATCACCTGGTTCAATTCCAATATTTTAAAGTTATCTGACAAAAATTGCATGTAGCATTTGATAGCTATAAAATCTAAATTTCTGGATCAAATTAAGATATTATAGTAAGAATTAAACCCAGTTTAATACCTATGTAAAGCAAAATGAAACTTCACTTAAAATGATTTCAGAAAATATATTCATCAGAAAATGTCACCAAAGTAATTTTTCCCACATGGGATACAAAGCATCATAAACTAAGGCTGTGGTTTTGTAGTGCAATTACTCATGAGTCATCTAGGTTATTATTTATTTTCACCAGAGACTAACATGGTAGAATGGAACTTTTTATTTATCAGTTCATTAAATACACTTTACTTAGACAGCATTTATTCTCCCAAAAGTTCTAAACATGAACAAATTAGATTTTATATGTATATAGCTAGTTCTAATTGGACTAAGGTGGCAATGGTACTGGCAATATGGTTCTACTGCATGAAACAAAATAATGAGTAATCTGAGATAATATATTAACATTATAGTCATTGTCACAAAGAGAATCTGCAGCAGAACTGATTCCAGATACTGTTTTGTCACTAGATGACATATTCTCCCACGTGTAAACATTTTACCAGGAAGTAGACCACATACTGATAAAAAGATACTTTTAAATTCTCGTAGCCTTAGGAAAAACAAGTACTATTAAAAAAACAGCTAGTGCTGCATATGCAGCATTAAATAAACAGTATGCTGCATATGCATCTCCTTATTAGAACAGAACAGTACTATGCTTAATATAATTCCAAGCCTCTTCGATCATATGCCAATTTCCTGGGAGAAAACTGTCAGTTTACATTTACCTGTGTGACATTCCTATACCAACTGGAAAGAGAATCCATTGAACAATGCATCTGTTTCTGAGTGATGTGAAAACTGTCCTCCTCTTCGGATTCCACATCCGCACAGCAGTCCATTAACTGTGAGACCAGCTTTTGTAAAAAATGTTTCACATCTACAGAATATGAAAGGTAAGAAAGCTTATTTCTCCTTAAAACAAAACTAAAACAACTGAAACGTCTTGATGAGTATATTACATTACTTGGGTAGAATGTGTTTTTCTATATTTAACATTAACATAATTTAACATATATTAACTATTAATACCTATTAGTATCTTCTCCTTAAAATTTAAATTTAAACTTCATTAATTCAGATTAACATTAGGCCAAACTTTATGAGTACTGTCTATAATAAAAGTGTCGCCTAAGCAAGTGAATAAACATGAAAACTTAATTATATCAGGAATAATATATATTTAAGTTACTTCTGGGCAGCAAAAGGTTTGTAAAGACCTTTAAAAAGGATCAAAAGTGTTATTTACATAAGTTATTTTACTGATTACAAGTCTTCCATAAAGTCATTTTAAAAGATGTCCTAAGGGATTTTTACTTAATACCAATCAGTTTATGAATATGAAAGTACTTTAGGCACATAATGTCCTTATATCCGCCCAAATCTAAACACATTTTACTCTATTAGTGTCCACATCCTTTATGATTTAATGGCTTCAGATACCCAAGGTTAGCTCTGGCAATGCACTATTTTTATCATGGTAGCCTTTCAGATGGGACGATAAGATGATTTGAGGCTGTAAATATGTAGTCTAGTCTCTGTTAGGATAAATAAGATCTCCCCATTCCTTAATTCTTACCTCCCTGTCCCAAACCTTCCAACTTTAAATGCCTGGACTATTATTGTCAGGGAAGCTGATATGGCAGGGGTGAGGCTAGAATAAACAAAGAAAACTGGAAACAGTCCTGCAATAGTCAAGATTACTCTGGGAGGCACTAAACTTCACCCTGCCAAAAATGTAGTACCATGCTCTTCCCAGAAATAAAAAGGGATAAAGAAAGCTTGAGAGAGAGAAAGAGAGAGGGGATAGAAGAGATTTATAACATCTTACCAAGGTTATTAAAGCATTTATACTTTACCTGGACAATCTCTAGCTTGCAATGAGACTACATATGGAGTGACATTATTCTGAAGGGCTTCTGTTAGACTTCTGAATGTTAAATCATGATCTGTTACATTCACACCTGTGGGATTATACATCAATATTACTCCATTTTTATTATTAATAATTCAACAACAAAAGCTATCTAACATGTCAACTGAATTACTAAGTAAAAACATTTTTACAATGATGAAAATCAGAAATCAAGAAAATATACTGCATAAATGCAGAGATCTCCATTAACAATAGATATCTAGAGACACATATTATTCTTATTTGTTAGAAAAGGTATTTAGCACAACTTTTCCTTTTAAAAAAATTACCAGGGATGTGTAGTTGACCCTTGAAAACATCTTAGGAATAATTTCATTCCTTTGTCACATTCAAAAAGAGCTCTTTAAAATAATTATTCAAAAATAAGGACTATAAATTCCAGCCTTCCTCTGACCCTAACTTAACTGAGGAGAATCTAGTCGTTAATACTATTTATGACCACAGTAGTAAATATAATAGGTAAAGTGTACAGTAAACTGATTTCTGACGGAAGAGCCTAAAAACAAATTACAACTTTAGGTCCTTTAGGTATTTACTAAACCCTGGTTCTCATTTCCACAAATCAGAGTTTTATTGCTCTGCATGCGGTTATCAGCATTGAGTGAAAATTTCCCCATTACTTTAAAAAAAAATTCTATTAACTGATAACTTCCCTAACATCACAATCTGTGATCTCTAGAAAGTATTTTGGCACTTAGGCAGGTGGCAGCCACAGACATCTTAAAACTACTTGACACTTGCTACCATAAAATTTCACCTGCTTGGAAGCAAAAGAAAAGGTTCAGAAGCATCCAGGCCACTAAAAAGCAATATTTCTTTTTTTCTCTAAGACAGCCAACAAACAAAAATGTTGGCAGGCTATTTTTAAATGAACATATACTAAAATAAACAAATAAACAGATATACACCTATTAGAAAATAGAAAACGTGCAACTGTACTTAAGTATCTTTGAGTACAGATTTTTTTAAAGTATCAAAATTATATTCTTAGCATGTAGTATGGTCTATGACTGTAATATATTTCTGAACAAATTTAGGAGTTCAGTGAAATATTGGCTTGTCTTGTCTGACTTCATCAGCTATTTAACACTACATCCCTTACAACAGACTTGTCTATTGAAAACAAGATAATCAACAATGTCTTTAACTGGAAAAATGTTCTCTTCAGACCACTGACTTTGAAGTAGATGATTTCCATTAGCTTCCTTTCTCCTTTTGACAGTTGGCAGAAAAGGGATTTAAACAGTGCTCTCATGACAATCAGGCCATCCCTCTTCGTTGTTTCTCCCACTCTATCTCCAATTGCTGTAACATGGCAGCAGAGAAAGAAAGCACTCAACGGTACAAGACAGCCATCACTGGGCCTCAGCTTCTCATTCATAAATAAAAGGGGTTTTGAACTTAAGTGGCAGGCTGCACTAAAAAACTGGTCCACACTATTACAGAAAACACAACGTGGAGTCTTATTACTCAGAATGGTTATGGGATTAGCAGTATGGGTATCAGCTGGAGGCCTGTTAGAAATGCAGAGTTACAGGCCTGACTCAAGAATTATTAAAGAACATTTGCATTTACTAAGATCCCTGATGGTTACCTGTAGGTACATTAAAGTTTGAGAAGTACTTCCCTAAATATCAAGGTTAGGAACAGTATTAGACAGTATTAAACAAAAGAATTAATTTCTTATCTCAGAACCGACTAGCATAACAAACTCTGAATAAAGATCAAATTGGAAGTACAATGACGGTATATTAAGAATCTAAATAAATTCAACTTTCTTTTCAAAAGGTTGAAGAAAATTTGCTAATATTCAAAGAAATTTTTTCCATTATCCTGCAATTCAGATGTTTGGTTAAAATGGGAAATTAATGATGGATATTTAAATACTTAAGAAATTTACAACCTGTAGTGTGAAAGCAATTCGTATATAATTCAACCAAATGGCATTCTAATTAATATTCATACAATATTATGAAACAATCCAAGGTTGAAAAACTAAGAATAGGGAAATAAAATTAAGATCACAGAGTAACTGAAGATATGATTTAAAAAAAAGTATAAAAATCAAATCTATTAACACACTGGTAGATTCTTTATTACCAAATTCAAATCTTATATATTTTCATAAAATAACTAAGGAAGAAAGAATAACACAAACATGTTTCCTCTTCATTTTTCAGACAAAAGGTTGAAGAAGGTACTAGCTAATCCTAGATCAATTTCTTTTAATTTACAGATGTATGCTCAGTATAAGGAACTTTTATTGGTTTTGAAAGTATGCCTAACAAACTATAATTGGTTTAAATCTATATATGAAAGAGAAAAAACAGTTTATCAGAACAGGTTATTCCCTACTATTTTCAAAAACATCAATTAAACACACACACACACACACACACACACACACACACACACACGTACATACCTAGAACAAGAGCAGCAGTTGGAATTTCTCTGAGTTTTATCTGATAGCCCCAGCCTCTTGAATTCTTCTGGGATCCAGAATGAGACTTTTGCAGAAATTCGATTAGACTGTCAAACAGGTTTTTATTTAATTCTTCTTGCAGTCGCTACACAGAACACACAAAACTTTATGGATTATTATCAGTAATAATCTGATATGTCTTTCCAAGTTTGGGAAAGAAAATTATCATGAATTCAATTCTAAAGATTACATGTAAAATTAAAATCATAATGAAATATAATCATAATGAAATAAAAAATCTTTTTTCTTAAATCTCCAGTGATTGGTGCTTTGGATACCCTCATTATAGAATCTCACTTATTTATTCAACAAGTACTAACTACCTTACAAATGAAAGGTAGTCTCTATGCTAAAAAAATGACCAAGAACATTTACAATTAAAATACATTGTGTAAAATGCTATGATAATATAGAAACAAAGAGTAGGACCATCTAACTTAAGCTGAGGAGGTGATACAATTGAGCCAAAGCATTAGAGCAGGTGATGGAGGTGATGGTAGCTAAAAGAAAGTTAGAAGGAATAGGGAGTAAAGAAGACAAAGAAGAAAGCACCAAACATCTGGGGAACCACAGATACACCTAAGCACAAAGAACAGGAGAAGTGGTAGGGAATGAGACTGGACAAATAAGCAATGGGCTAAACCAAGAAAATAAATATCTGATGTTAAAGAGTTTGGATTTTAACCTGTGGGGAGAACCACTGAAGGGATCTGAAGTAGAGACATGATTAAATCAGTGTTAAGGAGGGTTAATCTGGCAGCACTGTGAAGGCCAGAGTAGAGGGGACTGGAAAGGGTGTACTGGCAGTAGGGCTGGAAAACCCCTGTAGCCTGACCCGAAGGAAGAAGGATTTATCTAATTTGACTAATGGTGCCACAGGGACCAGTGACAGACCTGAAGGGTTTTACATCAGAGGCAGGGACATCAGTTAGGAGGATATTAGGACAATCCAGATTAAGAAATGAAGAGGACCTAAACTGGAAGCCACAAACTCAAATACCTTCAAGGGTCCATGGAATACATGAAGGAGCAAAGCTCCCAGGTGTAAAGCAAGAAAGGATGGTAGGAAACAGTAATAAACTAGAAAAGTGCATAACCTTCTCAAAGGCATTAAAAAGCAAAAAAATATAGCACTGTGTTGGTCAAACAAAATAAATTCCCTCAAGATGCTAGCCCTAGAGCTATGAATCTGTTATATAGTGAATAAATTTTCAGAGCTGCGATATAAAGAATATGATAACTGGATATGAGGATGAGGGAGTGAAGTGTAGTTTAGAAATAAGCAGCTTATTTCTTACTTGCATAACTGAATGGACAATGTAAAGCGTATCATCATTTTAAGTGGTGTGAGAATATATAAATGATAGCCTTACCAGCTATCACTATAAACATATGTTCCAATACCTGAAGCTATATTTAATATTTTGAACATGAGGGCTTTTTAGTATATACAGATTATGTTTAATCAGTATTACCAATATTTCATCAATACTCTTGTAAATACTCTTGGTAGAAAGATGGGAAGGAACAAACATGAGATTTACAGTATTAGAGAAATGCTGTTATGAAAAAAAATATTCACCTCAGTTTCAGATTTCATCTGCTGCCATATCAACTGATATGTTTCAAATCGAAGCTTACTGTCCTCTGACTCTTTTTTCCCTTTATTAAAATAGTCCTCTAAAAATAGAAAGAAATAAGTCAGTTTCTTTTTTACATAATAAAAGTTAGAAAATCTCTGTACAAAGTCAATATCCTTTACATTTATTTATATATCTTACATTCTTAATATATTAGTTGTATCTATAAAATTAAAATATCTTTAATTTTTAATTCTATCATTTATTTTTGAATTTCTAACAGTTTTCATTTAATGGTTTTGATCTGAGGTATATACATTTAATATTAATATATTTTTGACTTCAGTTCTAGTATCCTGCCCAGCAAAGAATTAGTCAAAATGATGCCTGGAGGTTTAATTGAAGCCAAACCTGCCACTCTAGAAATCAAGGAGATTGCTAATGAAGTTAAATCATAGCTTGAAGGAAAAACAAATGAGACTTAGGAAGAATCTGAAGCTGTAGAATACAAAACTCAAGTGGTTGCTGGAAAAAATTACTACATTAAGGTACGAGTAGGTCATAATATTTATATCTACCCGAAAACATTCAAAGCTCTTTGACACTTATTGGTTACCAGAATGACAAAAGCAAGGACAATGAGCTGATGGGATTTTAGTGTTATGTTCCAAAAGTGGTCTGATTTCTTTCACTAGCTACTGATTAATGATCCCTGCTAATAAATGCAACTATCAATAAAGAAGCTTTACATTTTAAATAAATGAATTTCTTCAAAAAAACGTATTTTATTATTTGCTTTTATTCTAAGGCCTTGTATACTTTGTTTCATATATTTGCTTTGAGCTCTCCTTTATTAAATGATATTACTCTTGCTCATTTGTTTGATTGACATAGATTAGCCCAGCCTTTTAGTCTGATTATATTATTTTACATATTTTTAGAATGTTTTCCTCCAAATCATTAGCCATTTATCAAAATACCATTTGTTGCAGTAGCTTTCAAACTTTTTCAACCATGATCCACATTAAGGAATGCATTTTACACAGTAATCCAACATGCACACATATAAGAGAAACAAACAAAAGTCCCACAAAACAATACTTTTATCGTGTGATAATGAATATTATCTATTGTTTTTTAAAACTCTCATGACCCACTAAATTGGTATCATGACTCGCACTTGGGTTATATATAACTTTCAGTTTGAAAGACACTCATTTATTGAATAATCCATCATTTCTCACGATTTGAGATGCCTTTATCATCTAAATATATATATACTTAAAAGTTTGTCTTTTGTTCTACTAAATCCAACTGTATTCTCATATCAGTCCCAAACTGTTTTAATTATTGTAGCTTTGTAGTACATTCTAATATTGAATAGATCCAGGTCTCTCTCCTACCACCACCAAATATTATCATACTTTTTAAAAAATTGTAAGCCATTCTTTCAAATTAATTTTGTCATTTCTCAAAAATAGTTATTCTGACTGCATAAAATAAAATCTGTAGGTTGATTTGGGGAGAAATGGCATTTTTAATATATTAAAAATTCACATCCAAAAATACTCAGGTCTCTTCTTTTAGTCAAATATTTTTCATTCCTTATAGTTTTCTACTTTCCTTCATATTTCTTTTTGTTTACTTCTAGGTATTTTATTGTAACAGCTAGAACTTTGATGATATTAAATAATAATTGCGAAAGTACACGTTTTGTTCCTGACTTCACTGAGATGCTGCCAGTATTCTACTATTAAGTTTTAATGCTAACTGCTAGTTTGGAATAGAAAGTGTCTTTCATGTTAAGAAACTCTAATCATAGTTGACTCAGAGTTTTTGACAAATATTGATTTTTAACTTTTATCAAAAGGCTTAGAATATATTGAAGTCATCATACGCTAAAATAGTAGACAAGGTTATAATATAAAAATGTAAACAAAAAAAAGCAAGGAGATGCACTATTACTAAGAGACAAAGCAGAACAAGAAGGTAGTCTCAAATAGAAAAAGTCATTTTATTTTGAAAATGAGTAAAATCATATAAAATGTTAAAGTGGCAAATCAAGACATGATTTTTTTAAAATGTGCTGAACAATGCAGCAAAATAGATAACAAAAAAATGTTAAACACTGGGAAACAAGAGCAGCAGGACACTTTAACCTATTACCATAACTGTATCATTTATTGATCAAGTAGGTAAAAAAATAAATAAATACTGAGAGAAGCTAAAGAATATAAGCTCTCTCACTAACAGGTTCCCTCCTGCTCCCACTCACAATGCTTTACTTTAGCATGAACATCTATCAGGGTGCCAGTGCCAGTGCCAGTCTGTCTCTTTCTTTCTCCCCTCTCTCTCATTCATATTCCCCCTCTCCCATCTCACTTTCCCAAATACTGAGAAGAGTTACCAGTCTGCTCTTAGAGACAAACCCAAGTATCTTCAAGTCAGGGGACAGATGGTGGTGGACATAATGCAGAGCATCTTTCTACTTTTTCAAGCAATCTTGATTCAAGAATTGAAGCCAGTGAACTCAAGTGCTAAAATCTGGATATGTTTTCCTCATTCCTACTCCATCTGTCTTAAAATCAAGGTCAATTCACCTAAGATTTTCATATTATAACAGTATCTGTTGGTCTTAGATCAGCACAATGAAAAAAAAAATCTAATGTACTTCAAAGCAAAATTCAAATTATACAATTTACACATTAGGTTCACTAACACTAAAGATTTTACACAAATCTTAATAAATTATAGTTGAAATCTAATACAAAAAGTTCTAAACAAAAACTCGCCTCATATTATGAGAGGTATCAAGTAATGGTTAGACCATGGACTCTAGACTCAGACAGCTTGGGTTCAAATCCCGGTTCTGCCACTTACTAGCATTCACTGAGAAAGTTCTTTATATGTCTAAGTATTCTCACATATTTTAATGGAGAAAATTATATATTCTTCATAGTTTGCTGTGAGAATTAAACACATAGCAAGTGCTAAAATAGGCCGGCACATAATAAACATTAATAAATATTAGCAATTTTATTAGTTATAGTAATATTGCTGATATCAGATAACATTTCATGCTATGTATCCTTTATGGATAATGGAGGAACAAGTCTTGACTTTTCTCTGAAAATGAACTATTTCTCCCTAAGTTCGGCAATCTCCAAAATCAAAAAAAAATCCGTAAGTTAAACACTTAAAAATAAAATTACTTATAATGTAGCTATTCTTTGTTTATTGTTTCCAATTCTATCAGTGTCACTTTTCATTTTCAGGAAGGCAAGGAACACAGAAAACTTCAGGTTTCTTTGAGACCAACTCTATAAGGGTGTAAAGCTTGAGATCACTGTTTATTCTCCCACTGAGAAACTGGATTCACATCACAAGTCATATTTTCTACCCTCTGTTCCCCTCAGTATGGACCATTATTTTATTATTTGCTCTTAAACAGACATATCTTATCTAGCTGGTCTCAAACCAAAGGTCTGTATTGTGTGATGTTTTAGAAAAACCCTATTCTAGATATTCAAGATATTTCCTTAATCAATGGTATAGTTCACTTTTTTTCATTCAAAACTAGTGCATGAGTATGCTTAATTCCGCATCATAATTTTTCCATCATTAACCTTCACAGTGCTGAATGCTAAATATAAATATCCAATCAGCCTGTAAAGAGCTTTTAAAAATACCAATACCTGGGTACCACTCCCAGATATTCTACTCAGATGGTCCGGGCTGGGGTCCCAGCACTGGTATCTTTAAAAAGTTCCCCAAGTTGAAATCTGATTAAGGTCAATAGATTGTACCAATGTTAGTTTCCTGATTGTGATACTATACTATAGTTATGCAAAATGTTACACTAAGAATAACCAGGTGAAGGTACAGGTAAACTC